TAATAACTGTAATTATATTTTATCATGCTCTTTCATACATGCCTCCTGCCAACGTGCCTGAGGTGCTGCACAGACACCACAAAACATGGTACAAGTTAAACATAACAAATGATAATGCAATGAAATATTTAAAAAGCCACGTATGATATGAACAACAGAAAGGCTGTTTTCAAATACAAGGAATTGCAAGAAAAAATTGCTGAAAATACAGAAGGAGGTTCTTGCTGCCAACCCTATCAAATTCACTTAACTACAGCAGATGAAACCTTTGTTCATTTCCCTCTAGTTGGCATCTTCCAAGTACTTTCCTCATTTTCTTTTAAAATATTTTGAGATTGTTTCTGTTTTGTATGCAACCCAGAAAATCTATCTGCTTTAATACCTGCAGTGCTACTATAATATGGTCATTTCTGGCCATCATCTTTAAAGCAGCTAAACTGACAACATGCCATATAAGATAAGAAAATATTAGTACTTTGTTATGCAGAAAGAGAACCAAGAGAGAGAGGAGGCTAAGCTTGCCAAGATCAAACAAAGCGTGTGGTAGAAAAAGAAATTGTACCCAAGTCTTCCAAGTGCCAGCCTATCACCCCAACTAAGCTGCAGTAAATCTTCAGCTGTCACCAAAACACAAGAAATTTGGGGATTAAAATGCAAATAAGGAAATCCCAAATCATGAAACAGCAGCTGCAAACTTAAAAGGAGACACAGCGTGCATTTGTATGCAGTCCATTAATGCATTTATACAGATGCCTGTCAAAACACCCATAGCATGTACAAATGTTAAGGATCAATTTGATAAAATCTTCAATTTAAACTCTTTTGAATTTGCAAATAGAATACTTTTTAATGTCCTATTTTTTCTTGCTTGATTCTTAACCTGTTGTCAGACAAGCTCTCCAAAACCTGCACAGTTTCAGAATATCTGTGCAGCCATTGAACTGCATGTCATCTGCTTGTTAGCAAGAAATGAGGCTGGAATGTAAGTCACTGCTAATTAAACTCGTAATTACAAATGGAAGGTCAGACAGCAGATCCAAGAGCTGTTTGAAAATGTAATAAGACAAAAGAAAGAACAAACCTGCATGTAATAATTCTGCCTTATTTGGCAGTCTGACCCATTAGAAGACTCTGCAGCTGCATATAGTACTGAAGGCAAATATTAGAATAATAAATGCAAATTATTTGGGTCTAAATGAGTTTGTCAAGGATTAGCACAGGCTCTAAACATTACCTAGATTTCTATTTCAAAACAAGAATTGAGAACTACTCATTTACAAAGTTAGAACATGGATCACAGCTTCTTGGCCTGAGCTCCAAAGCAGTGGCCACCACCACATTCACACAAACAGCCTTCCCTGTTTTTTATTGGACTGGGTAATATCTCACTCCTCTGCCCATATGTGGCCAGGAAATCTATTTGTTGTTTCCTTGCCTTGCCTGCGAATCTCTACAAACACAGAAATTCTGAGCTAACCACGACACTGCCTTTGCTCCCTTGTTGTGAGGTTGAGGCAGAGAGAAGGTGAGAAGTGCAGGAGGTAATTTAGACAGAGGGATTAGAGAAGCAGCATTATAAGAGCAAAGGGGAGCAGAAGCACAATCGGCTAGAAACCAAAAATGGAGGACAACCAGGGAAGGTTCACATTGGTTCTTGCTAGACTCGATCTCCTGAAGGGACAGAGCTTTTGGTATGGGTCTTAACCTCCACATTCACACCCTCCCCACCACCCTGTCACACCAGGATGAGTGATGGGCTCACAGGACACGGGAGGAGCAAGGCAGCAAGTGCTGCCATGCCAGGGCAGAAACCAGTCCCTCCTCCTGTTAGCAAGCGTGTGATGAAGCCCTTGAGGATTTGGGAAAATCCAAGGAGAAGGATATTTTTTCTTTCCAAGATAGACACATCTCTTACATGGGATTTGAGCACCTGGACTGCACAGCACCTGGGAACCTGTTTAGAATTTAAGAAGTATATTTCAGGAAACAGAAATACAGGTGGCATATCAAAACTGCTTTCTGTCATGCCTCCTGTTCTGGGCAGTTCACCTTTCTGTGAGACACAAGAAGTCTCTAAATCTCTTGTCAGGGTGGAATACTCTTGTGAGACTTAACTACCCCAGATTTAAAACAAAAAATTATTCACCTATGAGCAGGTTTTCATCTGAAATTTTAATTCTAAAAAGCTGCCTTCCAACAGCTCAACTTTGCTGCAGCGAATGTCTCACCAAGCCCCTTCTAATAAATATAATTTGTGATTTCTATGACACACTTGTTTTTGCAGTGAAATTGTAGAGGCAATGATCACTGGGTTGATTGACACCTAGTTATTCAATCAAACATACTTCTATTTCACTAGTCACAGACCACACATGCCAAATTTGATGCTGAAACAACTTTTATTAAGCATTTTGGAGAGGGCTTGGGAAGAAAATCAGTCTGGTAATGAAAATCTTAACTATGTAGCAGCTACTGCAGCACCATAATACTTATTTCTCTCCTGCTGGCAATTGAGCTGCAGCAGTACTGAACACCAGAGGACTTCTCTATAGAAGGAGAGATAACAGCACACATTTACTGAAATGATGGAGGTTGTTTTTTCTTAACAATGGAAGTATACACAGATGAATTTGGTAGCTCTCAGCTGGTGAGCAAGTTTTCACTGTAATTCATTGTGCCTCTTTGGGTGGGAAAAATGGATTTCACATAAGTATTCCTTTCTGGGTTCATGAAAGATATAATGTGGGCAAGCTGAGGGCAGAGTTAGAGAGGCAAAAATAGCCACTCCACGTCATATGATGCTGAAGCCAGTTAGTAGTGGGAGCCGAGACACAATGAATTCAGGTAGGGCAGTAATTTACTTTCTCAGGAAAATGATTTGCTTTCTCCTGAAGAGTAGGGACATGAAAATATCTTCATCATAACTTAGAGATGGATGAAGAGAGACTTATTTCTTTAACCCATTTCCTCTTTCCTAAGGCAATCACAGTTTTCAATGAGAGGGGTTAGTCCAGACCTCTTTCTCTCAGAGTAGCAGCATCTTGGGGAAATTATGCAAACTTTGTAAAACAGCCAAAGGCAAGCCAAGACAAGCCACTCAACTGTCTCAGTTACGCCAACCAGTGATCAACTCAGAGGGTATTCTGACAGTTCCATTTCAGATTACCTCAGGAATTATTTGGGTACCTAAGCCACTGCATCCAGGACCACTTTTGACATCTCAGGCAATATGAACAATCCACATTGTGGCTGACAACTCCTGATGGAGACTCCTGACCTTATAGCCAAGTAGCTGGAGCACAGGCAGTGAGCCTTACAGCAGCTTAAATTACTTTTGGCATTTACGTTTTGGCACCTGAATGACTCTGCTGATGTTTTCAAATCATAATAGAGTGATTTTTTCCTCCTGTATCCTCACCTTGTACAAGGGGATAACAGGAACCTGCAAAGCAGCAGGTACTGTTCAATATAGAAAGGCATTTCATCACCATTTTCCAGCTGCATCTCTAACAGTACAAGGGTGCCTGAGTTTTTGCTCGAGAAACAACACTGAGCAGTTCCTTTACCCAAAGAAATTCTCTCCTTCTCAAGATTCTTAGTAATGTCCTTTAATTTTAAAAAGAAGGGAAATCAAAACCCCTTGTAAATGTTGTAACAGCTCAGCCTCAAAGGCCTCCTCTAAAAATTCATAGTTCTGGCTCTTAAACCTCTGTCTTTTTTTGGAGATTCCTCACGTAATTGCACTCCAACTTTTGTCCTCCTCTGAACTTTGCTGAGTTTTAGGAAGTGCTAATTAGCCCAAACAGAAAAACTCTTCTGCAACGAAAGAAATAGAACTTTCAGAATTTTTTAAAAACGTCATTTTTCAAGCTTTCTGGATAGCTATTTGTGTCTTGGTTTTCAAGAGCAATTTATTCATTCAGCTTAACTTTTTCCCAGTACCTCCAGGCCTCACACATAGATTTTATTCACACAAAGTTTTATTCTATATAGTTTCTCGTGGTATTTCCAGAAATTACTTGGAGTACTTATTTCTATTACTGTTAAGACCCATTTATTTTGGGTCTAACAAAATTAGCAAAACTAACAAACTAACAAAATTAATATAAACTAACAAACTAACAAAATTAATTTAAACCCAAAGCTTGTTATGGTTTTGGGGAGGCCTTATTATTATTAAAAGACTATATCTATAAAAAATGTTACATTATCTGTAAGTAAACATTGACAAGCTAAAAATGGGAAATTCTGCTGAACTCAGGTTTATGAGAAATGCACTTATTCATGTCCTACTGTGCAGATACCACAGAGAAGGCAAAAGCAGCTTTTTAAGTACCAGCCTCACCTCAGTGACAATGCTTCTGTTTCAGGAGGCGAGCACAAACATTCAGTCCCAGTCTTCCCAATGCAATCCCAGAGGAGACCAACAACTTAACTGTGTCACCCTCTAGCACCTGAAATCCTTGGCTCAGAATTTTCTAGGAGGAGAGCCTGTGCTGCACTGCCACCTCTCTGCTCCATCGTCATCAGATCAAACACGAGCTATCAGGCTCTTACCCTGTCAGTTGAGTGTGAAAAACCAGTGGCCCAGTACTCTATGCCAGTGTGAAGCTGGGAATTTTGTCCACATTTTTGTGAGGGGAAAAAAATAAAAAAAACCACTATTTAGCTTTTAAATTTGATGAAAAACCCCCAAGTCACATACACACACACACATCCCCCCACAAATCGCCGCCAAACAACCAGGAACATACGAAAGACCTCTCTTCTGGAAAAACACACAATTGAAGTGCCATTGTCCCCTCCATGCACTTGTCAAAACTGCTTGGGGGCTGTTGGAGTGAAGGTGGAGGGGGGAGAGAAGAGAAAAACAGACACAGCAAATAAGAAGAGTATTTTATTAGAGAGTTATCTCCTTCTTGCAAGAATGAGTGCTCAAATGGATAATACCGTCCTGTGAAATCCAAGTTTCTAGCTTCATGTTAAGAAGAGGTTCTTACCTGATGGGATTATCCATCCTTGATACTGTGAGAAATGCTGCTAAATTCGCTGTGTAGGAAGAGCACACGATAAGGGTGAAGAGCCACCAGCTTCCCATTACAATGCGCATTGCCACAGAATTGACAGTGGATTCACTCCCTACAAATAAACAGAGAAAATAAGGGTCTCTCAGCAGCTTCCATTTACAATCACCCTCTGTGTGCCCTGTCGTGTTAAACTTTGTTGGAACTCGCTCTCTGCTCCCCCTCCAGTCCTCCCTTTCACTGTGGAAAAAGCATTGCTTCTGTTGAGACCGATAATTTAAAAGTATTTTTGCCAGTCAACATCTTGCCCTAGACAGTGTTCTAGAAAATCATCTTTCAACACATTTCCCTTGAGAATTATTGAGGATCAAATCTAGAGAACATGAAAAAAGTTCTGAATAAAGAAAGTTGAACAGTGAAGCACAACTAATATGCAAGAATTAAATCAATTACAGTGCTCAGAATATAGTAATGTTCTGTTTTCAATTATAATTTTAGAACTAGGGAAAAAAAACACAGAGCTGCCCAAAGTTTTGTGTGCTATCTTTGCTGTACTTAAATCTGAAAAGACTGAAGCATTAGTGTTATTACTTGTTAGTCTTTGCAAGATTTCAAATAACGTGAAGATTTCTTTCCAGCAGTCTTCAAGCACATTCATGCTTGAAAATCATTGGAGGCTAAACTTTACCATAGAGCTGGTGCTAGTCAATTCAGCACACATTTGTGCTGACTATATCTTACTGCACTTAAACCCGTCAGGGATGCCACCTTAATGAGATGAGGGACCAAGTTTCATAGCAATAGGAAGGATTTTCCAGTTGAAGATTTATAAGCTTGCAATCACAACAACAAAAAATGTAGAAAAAGGTTAATAACTTACCCACATATCGGCATTCAACAAGACCTGTCTTTCAAGAATAGAACTAACATTATAGATATGGCACAAAAACTGTGTGGGCAGATTTTGCAAGCAATTAGTTACAAAACTAACTTTGTTAATGGTAACAGCCCTCCTGAATTCAGTAGGTTTAGTCCTATGCCTAGATATTCCTGAGGGTAGTTATAAAGCCACAAATAATTTTCATAATCAATTCAAAGAACCAAGAGTTGAATTGTCTCACATAAGCTCAAAAGTATATAAATTTCTATTTATATTTATAAATGAAATTCAAACAATTGGAAAAAGTGCTAGTTTCAGAGCTGGAGTACTGTTGTAATTCTGCACCAAGCAGCTCTGTAGTTTATTTCTAGCGCAACAATTTTCCCAAAGAGAAAAAGCCTGCTACTCCTTCTTCTGGACTTACTGAGAGGCAGAAAAGCCATTAAAAAAAAAGAAATACATCCCCCAATCTTACTTACCTCTTCCCACTTTCCATCAGCTAGGCTAATAAAACATATTACCTCCCCACACAAGCCTCCTCTTTCATCTTTAGCCCACTCTGGCCAAGACTGACACGTCCTGCCCTGCTTTACCCAAGGCAGACCATTTCTGAAGGGCCTTCAGTGGCATTCATAGGAGGGTAAGTACCTTGCTGAACAAAGGCTCCATACACAACCCAGATGGCACTGTGGAGGGTGGAGGACACAGAAGGGCTGGGCTGGGCAGCATTCTGTGCCCTGACTGCCTGGATGCGGTTCAGGACGAAGATGAGGACGCCGACTATGGGGATGGCTGCGGCGATGCAGGCCCACACCGCGAAGTCGAAAGGGGCAAAGAGAGAGAAGATGTTGATTTTCTCTTCGGGCTTTTTGATTAAGATGCCCACAGAATAGTCCATGTAGCGCTTGCTGAAGTCCACGACGCTCTCTCGTTCGGGTGTTATGGTGATGGCTGAGATGGCCAGGTCTGCTCTCTGCGAGACAAGCGCAACAGGTCAGAGCTCTCCCTTTCACCATGATTTTGGCCAGCGTGAGCCTTAAGGAGACACTTTCTTTCTATAACTTAAAACATTTAGATGTATTTATATAAATTGGCTAAAAATAAAATCAGAATCTGTTTCATAATTTAAGCATTAGTTAATTGCATTGGTCTAAAGCAGAGGAGTGAAACATAACCTGTCAAGGTACTCTCGAACTCTCTGGAAGTGCAACTTGTTTAACCTTTATCCCTCACTTGTTTTCCAAACCATATTACCTTGGTGCACTGCAAGTAACAAAGAAAGAAACACCATTTATTTAACTGGTGTATTTGGTAGCAAGGTGTGAAGAGCTAGTGTTTGTTTTTCTCCCTGCAGAATTGCCAGCTTTCCATATTCATGAAGAGACTTTATATGACAACTGGGGAGAAGATTTTGTTTGTTTTTTAAAATGAATAAAGTGGTTGCAAAAAGTAGTAACAGGAAGAAGGCACCAAAAGCAACCTCATTCTTGAAACTGCATTGACTTCAACATTTAAAACAAGTAGGTTTTACTTGGAGATGGTCCTTAAAGAGTATGCAAACTTGATGAAGGAAAAATAAAGAAGTTAATAAATAAGATTCCCAAAGCTTTTGAAGAGCTGCAGTTAGATTTTCAATATTTTTCCATCTTAATAAGAAGAGCTCTCTTCAAAACACAGAATGTACATTCTGTTTCTTATCTCTAATTTTGCTGAGAAAGTAAAGCAAATATTAGATGAGGGAGGTCTGCTTTAAAATCCTTTGGAGTCAATGGAACAACTGGTAGCAGAAATACTTTTTAAATATACCACAATAGACACTTTATTGCTTCAAAGAAAGCAATTTCCAAGGAAATTTAACAGGATTCCTTAACTCATTCTTAAATCAATGAAAATCAAACAGCTTATGTCAATGCAAAATAAGGTAAAAATTCTTTATGTTTCCTAGCACCAACCAAGAGCATCCCCTTATCACACACATTGGCTATTGCTTTAATTGCTTCTATTTCTTTCTAAACATCTACTTACTAGATACTGAGCCACCTATTTACTAGACAATGAGAAAGTTTTAATTTTCAGTAATAACTCCACTGCAGAAGAGTAACCTTTCCTACAGAGAGCAGCAACATGGAATATTAATTCCTTTGATTCTTCTTCTTGATTAACATTCGTCCCATGTCAGATAGCAAGAACATTAACAAAATATACTCTAATTCAATTTTCTGAGAGATTCTAAGCTACAAGCTTTCCCCATCTACTTGAATGGAGTACAGTTAATTTACTCCTGGATTTGCAAGATTGTATTTAAGAAAAGAAATTTGGTCCTCTCTGTTTTAAATAAATGAATAATCTTGAGATCAGTTCAAATTCTGGTCCCCTATTACTAGGGTCATTTTCCTGTGTTGGAGTCAAATAAAGTGACAGAAATAAAGTCCTATCTACAAAAAAATAGCAAACACATAATGACAAAAATTAAAATAATAGAAATTCATATTGAAGAATACCTTTTTTCTCTATTTTCTATAGTCATTCCCTCACACAAATGCATGTCCTCTCTTCTAATAGCTATATAAACACACAGATTTACACTGATATAATTTATGTTGAGAGCAGTTGAGAGCAAATAAAACAAGAGCCTCTTTAGTTTCTATCCTGTATACAGGTAGGTCTTAAATTGCAGTTTATATCACACTCAAACCATGCCTAGCTCAGAAGCATTCTGCACTGATGCTTTCATCCTAATTCATTCTCTTGTATTTTGAAATGAGGAAAGGAGGATATTTAAACACCTTTACAAAGCTTTGACACCCTACTCCAAAGAGTAATATTTTTTCTTTTTTTTTTTTTTCTTTTCTTATAGTGCAGCTTCTTCTCTGTGTACCTTGTTAATAAGTTCTCCAATCATGCCATTCCATGAGCTGTTTTGGAGCTGGTGTCCGTATTTGCCATCAGGAGCTTGATATATCTCATACTTGAAGCCTAGATTCTTGGCAAGTGCATCCAGGACATCAATGGAAAATCCTTTATATCGTTTTGGCTGCCCGAGTATGTTCTCCGCCACCATCACAAAAGGTTCTTCCTGAGAACAAAACAACATCTTAACTGACACTTGAAACAAGATTTTTAGTTTGTTCCTCTTAGCAAAAGGATGTTTCCTGAGTTAATTCTGAACAACTTGGCACAGATTTTGAGACACTCATAACCTTCTGAGGCGAAAACTGTAGGCAATGTGGGATACTGTGAAGCATCCCAATCAGACACCACCACCTCAGCACCTGAGCCCTGTCCACGGCCTTAGGTTTCCATAGTTCTTGAGAAGAGGCAAAGACTCCAGAAGACAATTCAACCCCCTCTAGCAGCTTCCTGGCGTCCACAGGATTAGTTCCTCTCTAAAACACCTGCCTCTTCTCACTGGTGATAAAGGAGGCACATAGACCTAACTTAGTGTCCTAAATAGCTGTCTAGAGTACAGATTTTAAGTTCAGCACATCAGTCCTAGATAGGAAGATTACTTCTGTCCATGTATCTCAGATCATATTAGATTTAGAAAGCCATCTTTTACATACAGTTCTTAATCTTTTATCCAGGAGACACATTGAAACAAGAGCTAAAAACACAGCATTTAGCGAACACTTAAAATTTTGAAAATTCAAAGAATAACCTTCATGAGTACTAGTTTCTGGAATATTTTAATTTAAAAGTGTGTTTTGGGACCAAGGAAATGCAGCATTTTGTGGGATGTTTTCTGTTGGGCACGAGTGTCCTGCTCTCCTGCAGGGGAATGCCAGGGATGCCAGCAGCACAGCCACCACAGCTGGCTGCCTTTGTACCCTGGTACTCGCATTGTCTGCTTACCTCTCACATCAGCTACAGCATAAATAGAGAAAAGTAAACTGAGGGCTGGAGGGAGTGTCTTAATGATCTCATGTAGTACTGCCTATTTGTACCATGATTCAGAAAAAGATGATTAAAAGCCACAGAAAGACATCACATGCAGCAATCTGCAGACTACAATATTTCAGGCAGGAATGCATTTAAGCCCTAATTTGCCCCTAATGTAGAACTTGGCTGACAGGAGCTCTTCTACCACTCAGAGTCTAAGAGACAGTAGTCCCAAAAGCATAATGATTTTTTTGGAAAGATGTCACCTTTCTAAAAGATATAGTTTATCTCAATGGGAATTTATGAGCTTGATGGAGGAAACACTTGATTAAATTTTACAGCCTGCAGTGTACAAGAGCCAAGATTAGATTATCATAATTGGCCCATCTGATCTTAAAATCCATGAAATGCTGGAAATTGCCTATCCAAGTTAAAGCACAATATCTGGAATGCACCCCTGTGCACTCAGGCCCTGTGCTGGTTCTGTGCCTGGTAGGAATTACAATGCAGAAAAACAGCACAAGCAAACAAACAAATGCTCTGTGTCTCTGACAGCGCACAGCTTCACATAGAATAATAAAAGGCCATCATCTATCTTCCATGCTTATGTAACTGATCATCCAAAAATACAGAACTGAAAATGATAGGCAAAAACACTGCGGGAAGTGCCCAAAATACCCAGTCGGGTCCTTTTTATTTTGAGCGTTTTGTTTCCTGAAAGATCCTTCAAAGAGCATCGTACCAAGACAGTCACCACTTTGAGTGTCACTCCTTGTAAGTCGTTGCCCAGACGTCTCTCTTGTAGGCTGCCGTTCAGTCCTTTCTCAGAGTCCCACGTTGCCAACTAGAACAGAAAGTGCAGTGAGTCTGAAGGCCTGGCAAGCAGAAATCTTTCAGCATTTACATAAACATTTAGTGGTAGCTTGGCCCAATCCAGAACTGATATAGAGAAGTTGAGAGGTGTGTGGCTTTTATTAATGCAGAATCAGAATTAGTGAGATTCAGAGGATAGACATAAACAAGTACCTTGCCTGAATGTATTTTCATGGATGCGTGCGATGTAACTGCTCTATTATCTGTGGTAGTTGTCATATTATTTCGCTTAGATCACTCTGATATGACATTTCTCTTCAGTAAGTTTATATTGCCTGACAGTCTTGAGGATTATCTGTGGTTTCACTATCCCAGATTTCCCTCTCTGCTCAGATTCCTGCCTATTTTCAAATAATTCTCCACTGTTTATCAAAGACTGACCATTTTTCCTGCTGCACAACATTTTTGTTCACTGATAGTAATAAATTCTTGACATAGGTTCTATGGTGTCAAATTGCCTCCTCTCTCAGATTTTCTTCAGATCCTGTCTTAAGTCCTATTTTCTCTGTTCTTGTCCTACTTCTAACTCATTTCTAAAGCAGTAGCAGCCTATTGAGGTCCTAGGCTCTGATGAACAAGCATCTCATACCTACCACTATTTCATGCATCTGCCAGATGTACCTGGATGCATATTTTCAGGACATCTCTCTGGAATATTATATCTAAATATTTTATTTTTCAATTAAATATATAATTTTAAAAATCAATTTTACCGCAATTTCTGAAGAGAAATGCACTCCAACTCAACAGAACAGGTTCAATAGAAAAGTCAATCTTAAGTGACCTTTGGATTGTTGAAACTAAATATGCTCTTGAGCAGCAGCAGCAGTCAGATATTCTTTTTGCCTCCAAACAGAATCCACAGTGTCATTTCGCTCAGAAGAGTCATAAATAGTATCGAGTAGAAACTGCTTCTTCTTTTTTTTCCAGCTCTACTCTTAAACACCAATACTATGCTCGCGTATGTGGGAGCAGTGTTGTTAGCTGAAGGCATGCCCTGTAGAAATTAAACACAGTCCAAGATCTGTGAAATGTGGATTCCTCCTGCCAGAAGCTAATTTTCATGTAACAAGTCAAAACCTTCTTGGAAAGAACTTATTTCACTGAAAATGCCTATGGCTAGATGTCTTACATGATTTATTTCTATGACTTCAGTTTTATCCTAAAGCCTTACAAATCAAATCAACAAATAAAATGTGATGGAAGAGATCTGTACAGTTTTATTTTTGTTTTGCTGCACTAAAGTGATAAACAGGGAACTAGAAAAAGAATGAGATATTCAGTGAATATTGAGCAACTATCACAACTGATGAAAATTATTCCATAGTCACTAAATATTGAAAGCTGAGACATAGGAGAGGAAAGAATTAAAGTGCACCTCATTTTATCCAGATGACCTGGAGGATGGAGGAGGAGAATGAATGAATAATATTCAGCTTTCTAATGACACACCTGAAAGCTAAAGTATCTTAGACTGAAAACTCCCCTGTGATGCCAGTTTGGAGTGACAGATGAGCTTCTACACATAGAAGTGTCTGCAAAAAACCAGGTAGACAAATACCTGTAGCCATGGTATCTTCTGAATTTGAATTTAGGTGCTTGCTCTGAAATATTTCCAGATGTTTCTTACTCTTGCTATTGCCAAACCAAATGGATGGCTTTTCATTTGACATAAAACAACGTGGTTCAACAGACTTCACAGATTAGTATAGGGGAGTGTGTGCTATATATTGTGTCTCAAATATGTAAAGAAAGTTCACTGTTTAAGCCTTCTTCAGCAGTCCTAGGCAGTAAGTATATGATTAAGATTTTGACCAAAATGGTTTGCAAAACCAACAAGTGATGAATAAATATTTACTAAAAAATGGGAAATGTAAAACATTCAAATTATTACTTCTCATGGACTGATGTATTAATTCCTTCTCCCACACATTCACATTTCAAAAACTATCAGGGCCTTAGACTTCTTGCATACCTTATGTTTCACATTCTGTACTAACTCCAAGAATTCCAAAAAATACTGGAGACATGTCAGTGCAAAACCATAAACTTATTCCTTTTATTCAAAGGGAGCAAGACAAAGATTCCCCTTTTATGCAGCAGGGATAAGTGCAAGGAGAAGGGGCATATTTCACTTCAGAACAGAACTCCATAGTGTTCTCTATAGAGGCACAAACTTTTCAGTCTCTAAAAAGCAAACTATGCAGATAAAATTCATAAATGGAACATAAGGAAAACCATTTCCAGAAGGGATTTTTTCTGTGCATCCTTGTGCTTTGGAACATTTCACTTGTTCAGAAATGTGCCAATTTTAGCCTCCACTTCTCGCAGACACAATTTTGTTTATAGGACTGATGTATTTACAGATATGTCTATCAATTTGTGACAGCTGACCTGTCAAGATCAGTGCCTAAGAAACTAATTTCCAGCACTGTTACACACAATGAGTACTGCTGTTAAGGCCATTAGAGTTTCATTCTTCGTAAAAATATGTGTTGAGTTCCTACCAGAAGTCTGAAGCCAAAGGTTCTAGCACAGCCATCAGGTGATAGGAGATAAAGGGCTTTTAGATCTGATGATGGTGAACTACTTGCAGAATCAGCAGTAGCAGGATGTGTTTTAAAAAATATCAGTGGTCTCTGGAACATGTATTGAATGGCAGTCTGGGTGGGAATTTTTTGGTTCTCAAATTACTGGGTTATGTGAGTTCAAGTTTTGGAATCAGCTACTCTATGAAAGGTTTTCAACTTAAACCTTCCTAACTTCTCTTTCTGAAACAGCCCTGTTGCTGGGAATCCCATAGTTCTAACCATACATCAGAAGTTAAATCATCCAATAAAGACTACACAGAGGAAACAAATGTAGAATTCAGACAAAAAGGTAATTTGTTGGAAAATACTGACTCAAGACATGCTTCTGATCTTTATCAATATTTATGGCATTTTCAACCAGAACTTCGAAGAAAGGCTTGGAGAGAGAATCACAATTTTAACATTTTAACCCTCCACAAGCAATGTAGAATGAAACAAACATACTTACTCAAAACACAGACAAATACAACCTAGGAATATCAAATGATAAAGGACATCATCCAAAGTATGTCTGTTGAACCTGCTGTTCAGGGCTTTGCCCTGAAAGGTATTCGTATCTGTCAGGACCTCCAAAGAAAACTTAATGTCCATATAAGCTCAGGGTTCCTGAGTTCCCTTTGATAAACCAGAAGTCAAATTCTAAAAAGCAATTTCATGACTTTGTTAATTATGTAGCTGCTGGCTGCCCAACATTTACTTGAGTGATTAGATCCCCAGGGGAAATCATATTGCAGTGTCATGGCAAACTCACACCAGAGAATATCAGAAACAACTCCATGCAAGTGTGAGAACCCTCATCAGCATAATGAGGCAGACAATCCTGCTCAAATAAATCAAGGCTGCATGAATTAAACTGTGATGTGCAAGATTCACTACCTCCTGTGAACCTGATCAATTAGATTGAGAGCCTGTGTGCCACTTCCTTTAGGAGATGAACGAATGATAAACTCTGTTATTTATTACACATCTGTTTGTCTGCAAAGTCTGCCTGTTCATGCGACTCTATTACACAATAATTACAAATTCATTGAATCAGGAACTAGAATTTAGATTTTCTAACTCTGCTGTAAACACACCATTAAACTGTGGCAAATGTCTGTCTCAGGCCCAAACAAACTGAGATGCAAATTACCCCAAACTACTGGTAAATACAGTTGAAAACTGACATTAGCAAAAAACTATTTGATATTTCTGTCACAGCATTGAGTGATCATCTGCACTATTTTAGTTTATGACATGGTACCTACTGTCCAAATAATACATGTCACTGCTATGTAACACAATTTTAAGTATGACACCATCCTAAACATGATCTACTTTTCAGGGAAAATGTGATTCCCATAAGAAATAAAAAAAGATAATTATCAACGGGTGTATAGAAATGTCTGAAACGGTTATAATCTATCCAGAGCATACATCTTCTTTTTTACCAAAACCTGAAATCTTCTATCTGTTGACTCCTTTGGAGTTAAGGTTATACTATCCAAAGAAATTAAATTTGGGACCCCCTGCCTTGACACCTGAAGAACTTCTAAAAGACAGGACAGTGAAGAGAGTGCAAGGCAGGCAGTTCTCATTCTAGGAACCAGAGGCACACATATAGACCAGAGCACATTTTCTGTGAATATGAAAGCTGTTCTGTGCAAGGAGTTAAATAAATTCATCTATGACATTCACAAACTAATAATGCTTTTAGATTAAAGTTGAATTAAAACAGATTTCACTTCAATGACCACCTGCTTCTTAACCTTAACCTCAACACAGTGTATATCAAGTATGATGCTCTTAATAACATCGGTGCCTCACTCCCTTTGCCAGCCTTGCAAATAGCTAAACTCTTACTGAAACACTTATATTATAAAAACAGATTCTAAGTGAACATGATAATAAAAAATTACACAAACAAAACATAAACAAGAAAATTAATGTTTACAGGAGAGAAATATGAAAGAAGACAGTGGTCCATTAAATACATGGAGTAAATTGGACACTCCTCTGCTGCAGTTCTAAGGGATAAGAGGAATTTAATTTAAATTCTAAAACAAATTTAAGTCCACTTAAAACATTTAAGTCCACTATTTCTTTCTAAATGCAGTATAACAGTAATCTACAGAATTTGCTGTCCTACATAACAAAGTATTAGTAGGACTCACACTTCAGATTGTGTGTCATTATTAAAGAACTGATAGGATTCCTGAAACATCATTTCCATTTTTATGACTGGAGTTGCCTTGAAGGCACTAACATCTTTTAATTTAAAATATAAGATAACAATTTATAAAAGCTAAAAAAACGTTTTGGACTGTATATTTGTGTAATCCACAGTAATATAAAACAGGATTAGGAAAATAAAAAGGTATCAATCCTCATACTAGCAAGC